CAAAATCTATCACATTTTGCCTACAAACAAAAAAAAAAGGGTAAATAATCACATTTCTAAAAAATAACTAAGAGCGGTGTGTTTCCACGGACACTGGGGTCAGTGTGCAGAAGCAGTGGCCACCGCCCCACATCCCTTTTCCAGAGACAGGAACTAAAAGGCTGCACTCAGAGTCAAAGAAGAACCTTTTAAATATGCTTCTTGGTTTCCTCTTTCCGTGATTACAAGTTAAATGAAAATGTCCTTGTAAAATTTTCTAGGAGATAATGGATATGGGGACTTTGAAAACAAAGTTCTATTACAAAAGATAAACCAAGTAGAGCACGATTTCTCTGCAACAATCACTTATTGAACGCCTACTTTTACAGAGCTCCACACCAGGCTGGGGAGGGGGCAGCGCACGGGAAGCCTGAGTACCGACAGCTGCTGCTTCTGGGGAAAAATGGAAACTATATGTCTCCTGAAGTCTACACTATCAACTACGTAAGGCGTTTTCCAAATTATTCTAGACGCTAAATTGTGTTATCTTTCTAACCGGGCCACTCCAGAAATTTCCTAAGAACTTCACTTACCATCAAACATGATAAGGATTATAGCCATGCTGTGGCAAATCTGGAACTAATAGACTATCCTCTGGGGCCCTTTTTATTTCTCTTTATAACACATATCATGATGATTTAACATGTTAAACCTTCAAGTTAGATTAAAGGAACTATTCAATAATTTTAATATATCTATGACAATTTGTATGGCTGTAAGAGTTTGTATACTTTAATAATTTTTCAAAAGCTGGTTTTAAAATTCTCTGAAGCAGCCAATTCTTTTCCAAATGTATTCCCAAATTAATAAACTGACTTGAATGTAGATACCCATAGATCTGATTTAATGCCGCTGTTTTAAGAGTTTTCTCTAGTGTAGGCTTCTACGGACTTCTGAACTCTTCAGAACAATTGGTGCCTTTCCTTTCCATAACACAATAAAGCCGTTAATACACTCCATATGGTGCTCGAAAGCTCGTCTGCAGCATGCATGGTCTTTCAGATATATCGTTTATTTTTCAATGCTTCCGTAACGAAGTAGGCTTCATACCAAATACCGCCTTCCTGTAGCATACGGTGGCCTACAGTGAATCTTCGATGACTCCTAAGTGCAGTGTGTTTTCTACTCACTCTCACTACAGAAAACAGAAAATTATTTTCCAATCGTATTACATGTAAGATGAAAATAAAGTTTTAAAAACAATGCTGAGAATCTGCATTTAATGAACTGAGAATGGCAAATACGTTCTATATTAAATTTTAAAGAGTTGTTCACTACGTTGAATGTCACAGTGACGTGAAAGGAGCCATGGGCTAGTCCAGGGTGCTGGTCTGAGGATCGACTACATGAACGAGGTACACCATTAACAGGACACCTGGTTCCATGACATATGTCTGTGCCTTCATTTTCTCCTAGGAATCAGCACATTGACTGTCTCAGAGTACATTTGTTTTTATAATCTAAAGAGTTAAAATGATTTAAATACAATACAGGTCAAAATTCACTTGCTTGCTGTAATGAATATTCTAATGCATGTAACTTTTTCAAGCATCAGTTGGAGCCTGCTTTCATCTGTAGGACTTGTTTATAATTGTTTAATATTCATATGAGAATAGATTTTCTATATCCTATCATAATTCTAATTACTAGCTTAATTTTCTAATAAGTGGGTTATCCTACTTAACATTTTTGAAATATTATCAGTACATCAAATTACTTTTTTAAATCTTAATGATAAAAACTAAAATGAACAGCGATAACTTGGAAATGCAACATTTTAAAATATAATGCCTATATATTTGGAATGGGAGGTTTTCAATACTTCCTCTTTTTCAATTAAGATGACTTTGAGATCCTGAATGTAGTATGTGATTGAATATTGCATTTTTCCACCCTCATAAACTACCACAGTAACACCAACTTTGATTGATACTGTTAGCACTAAAATTTATGCATTTTACTTCGATACCCTCCAACTACATATGTTTGAAAGGCACCTACCTGGCATAGCCACTCAAAAATAAAGTCATAATATATTCCTTGACGAAAACTACAAAAGTATATTTGAAGGAATCACCTGCCTTAAAAAGTTATTCTATGTAATAATCAATATCATTAAAATCACTCCCAATAAAATAATTGTTTTTTTTTCTTTTAATGATCCAAATCTATAGTGAAATGATGAAATCGAAAAACAAGTGTTCTTGTCAGAAGACAGGAAGAGAGTTCTGCCCTCTCCCTTAAGGAAAACAAAGGATTCCTGAAAGCTTTGCCCTGATTTATTTTTCCAATTTTAAATACCTTAAGAGTAGCGGAACTGCTACTGGCATGGTAGTATTTCTAACAGTCAATAAATCTAAAATATTATGTGTGAATATTGGAATGAAGCCATTAAGAAGATTACAGCATGCAACACAGCAGAGGGTCCACAGGAAAAAAGAACCAGTAATTCGGGACAACTGTGACCACTGACCTTCAAACAGCCAAGACCACTGGTCAACCTGACACAGTAATAGAGAACACATGCACAGAAAGTCATCTAGCCTGTAAGGATAATTTAAACGCTTTGGTGAATGATTTTAAAAGGCCCTTCATTTAAATCTCAGTTAACTTATTAGACAATCAAACAATACCAACAAGTAATTTTTTTCAGCCTTCAGGTATGCTGTATTCATTCAAATCTCACACAAAAAAAAATTCCAGGAAGATCATCCGTGAGTTTAACACGTCTCAGTTAAAACATTTACTGTTGTAAAAATAGGATTTGAGACTTTATGGTATTTCCTCCGGAACTACAAAAGATAGCCTAGGAAATCTGATGGAAAAGCTAAATTCATTAGATCTCTAATATTTAGATTAAATAATCAACTCAAATAGTTTTATGTAATAAATATAACTTTTAAAAATACCTCATACTTTCAATAGATGGTCTTAGTGCCATCTCAGAATTATTATGATTGCCCCCTTCTTCAGATTTGTCTGTAAGTCTGTCGTCCTTAATTTCAAGCATGCAATCGAGCTATACTACACTTTTTAACCTATTTTTTAATATCCCATACGTTTAGCCATAATGTTGCATAGATATAAATTACAAAGTGGTCCCTTCTGTATTTTACATTTATAAATACTGTTTGACTTCCCCATACACTTAAATAGTGTTTTAGTTAACAAATGAATACTAGAAAAGTAGTCATTCTCAATTAAGAATTACCCAGCCTCCCCCCAAAATTTTTTTAAAACTATTTTTCTTAAAAATCATCTATCACTGGACATAACAATGAACACTTTAGTGACATATACAGAAAAAGTGAATTTCTTTCTTGTTTGCTTGCTCTTCTTCTTCTTTTTTTTTTAATAAAAAAATCCTTTTTCTCCTTAGGGCTTTAATAGTAGGAGATACGTGCCCATGAAGAAAACATTCTTAAATGTTGGGATTCTATTTCCATTTTTCTATCCAGTGAAGAATACTTTGGTGGATTTCTAAATGAAAAATTCTAATTATTTCTGGCAGCATTTGTAAAATTTTGTAACGAAGCAACGAAGCAATCTAGTTATAATGATCTAAGAAGACAACTGTTCACTAGCCTGGGTTTGAATTCATTCATACATAACATAATTTTTACTTTAGTTCTAATGTGTTTCAAGGTCAGCAAGTATGTTATTTGGGGGCATAAATAATCTGATTTTGACTTTAAAATATTTTTCTATCACTAACCATGGAAACAAGCAAGCCTGGTACTGTTGTTACATTGTTTTGAGTTGGGACTTCTTAAATTCACTTTTTCAAACTCCCTAGTAATGGATTTCAAAGTACTTGCAATATGACAGAAAAATCTATCCTGAGAGAGGTTTTTATTCCCAAATTTTAATCACTAAAAAGAATAAGTGCTTTGATTCTTTTTCTAAAAAGGGAGAGCTATTTTAACTTAGGACTATGCCATCGAGATGTTTTTAAACAGCCATCATAATATATACATCAGCAGTATAGTACTAGGTTGCATGTTTGCCCTGTACTAAGGAATACGACGGCCCGAAAATGCCGTTTGGGAGACTATTTAACATGAAATACAGAATACAGCCCATTAGAAGCTGCAGACACACACGCACGCACACGCGCTCACACAAACTGCAAGATCAAAGACCAGAAGAGAACTGGCACTTAATTTATCAGCCTTTACAGACAAAAGACAGTTTTCGTCATTTCAAAAGGATCAGATGTCTTTTATGACAAACTGGGTTTGCAGTTTAATTTACAAATAGAATTCTAAGTAAGCAGTCTTTGCTCTGCCAAAGCAAATGACAAACAGTGTAGGTTTTCATTCTTGCGGCCCTCAGCAGGATAGAAAAGATTAAAATAAAACTGAAATAATTTAGAGAAAACAAATAAATGTTTCAGAAAGTTGAGGGAGATCAAAGCCAGAATTTTCTGACCCCAACTGTACAAGCATTTCTTATTATATTGACCAGTAACATCAGATCATTAATTAAAAGGAAAAGCGCTGGCAGGTGGCAGGGAAGCAAAAGCCGATAATTGGCCCCCTTCTTCTTCTTGCCTTCAAAAACTCTCTCATTCTTTTGCAAGACATGCCACTAGGCAGACAGAAATGCCTACTTTGTAATATAATGATTAAGATGAGATGAAGAGACTTAGGTTTAAAGAAACTCTGCCTAATGAATGCATCGAGCTTTTTAATTATAATCCTACTCCTACAATAAGGGTATGATGTTCCATTCAACATGTCCTCAACTGCCAAAAGGGAAAAATATTAAATATAGAATCGACACTGATTCCTCTCACATCCCATACACACACACCCAGTCCTTTTCTTTCAGACAGAAATAGTGGGGGAAATCACTCAGTCATTCGAGGGTCCAGGAGAAAACATTTGTTCACCATCACTCAGTCATTCAAGGGTCCGGGAGGAAACGTTTGTTCACCACGAGGTGCCCTTCAGACTTACCACATCACTGGGTAGGTTGCTCAAGTCGTTAAATGGTGATTCTAAAGTGTTCGTGTCAACATTCAACATGACCACATCTTCCAATGACTTATTTTTCACTCTCTGTTTGAAAAACACAATTATGAATAAGAATCTTAGTATATTTTCCTTATAAAACTATGATGAGTTTGGAAACACAGAAAACACACACACATATGTATCTTACAGCATTTGGCTTGGGAAAAGAAAAAAGACAGTTCCTACATAACTGAAAAATGGAAACAACTTTGCTTTCTGTGACTATAACCCATTCAAAAAGATCTGGTAAAGATGCTTAAAAGAGAATATCTGCTCATGTAATATGGAATATAATTTAATTATCAAAGCACTATCACAACAAAGACTTACTGTAGAATAGGAACAGCTACAGCAAACCATAAGAACAGATCATTTAAATTTTACCAGTTGGATTTCAGCCCCACGATATAGGAATCTGGCCAGCTCTTCTCTTATTGTTAGTATACATCATATTACAGGGATAACATAAACCAATAAACAATACCGCACTGCTAAATTAATTTTAAATTAACAAACCTTTTCTCTGTATTTCCATATCATTCGGCATAAGTTAATGAGGAGAAATGAAAATGGAACCAGAGAAAATAATAGGACCACAAGAATTTTTTTGTATTTTTCACAGGAATTTCAATACAAAGGATCAACTGCAATAGCCTATCAGGTTGTCTTAATAGTTTGCAAGCTTAGTCAAAGTGGTAAAATTATCTCAATATGCATAAAATTACAGTAAATTATAATTTTATCAACTTTTAAATTCTTAAAGGAAATATTTACGTTTTTTCTTGATTAAAATAAAATGTATATTTAAACAATTCATAAAATTCTATTAGTCTTATTTAAATTACAGCAAATAATACCATTCCTCAGTAACAGATAAGGTATTATACAATTGAACTCAGAATTCTAAAATTGTGTGAGGGAACTGTAAAAGTTCACAGGAAAACAGAATTAAAGTACAAGCTTATTTTGGTACAAAAACTTTGAAATCCATGCATAGTTTTTCCATAACATGTATTTTTCCATTACTTGTTGAAGACCCCTCACGTTGGTCAACTAACAATATGCCAATATTTTTGAAAGAGATATTCTAGAATAGCAATTTTTGAAAATTTCTACTTAAAGACCCTAAATTCAAATTAGCCAAACTGATTATTTTGAGCTGCTCATGACTGAAATTTCTCTAATCCATTAGAATTTCAGATCTCTACATATTAGGTAGGAGTTTAAACTTGCTAGGAAAACGGTAGTGGGGGGTAGGACATTTCTATGTTAAGAAAGCCACAGAGCCTATGTAGAGGGTGGACTCTCAAATGGACACATGATTCTAAATATTGTATTTCTCTTATAGGGCTAGTCCTGTAGCATAGCATGGTTAAGCACTGTACAGAGGAAGACAGAATTCACGTCATCAGCCAGGGTTCAAGTCCTACCCCAGCAGCTTAGAAAACTAAGTGTGCCAGGCACACACTCGCCTGTCCAGGATCCTGACGAGAGAGAGAACTGAAGGCAAAGGGGTTATGGCATGACCAAGCCCTGCTGAGTTGTGCTTTAACTCTCTCTCTCCCTCCCTCTCTCAAATACATGCGCATACCCACTGGAAATAAGTAGGAAAAAAAACACTTCTAAAAGACATTAAAATCATTATAAAGTAAAACAAAAAAATGGTCACTTTGGGACCAGCAGGTGGTATGGGGGTTAAGGCACTGGACTTCCACATGGCAGACTGCAATTCAAGTCCCAGACCTGTCAGCGCGCTCTCTCTCTCTCTCTCTCTCTCTTTCTCCCTGGTGAACAAACATGCCCTTAGCAAAATGTTTAAAAACCAGTAATAAAAATAAATAAAATTAAATAAATAATTTTTAAAAAGACCACTTCAAAAATATTAGTAGATAATTACTTGTGAAGATTACAAAAACATTTGAAAATATACTCATTTCCTTTCCTTTCCTTGTGTATACATATCTGTAAAAAAGATTTAAATACATAGATATGCGGCTATCTATAAATAACTATAGTATAACTACAATGATAATATATTTTATATGCAAAAAGTAGCATTTGTGTGAAAAATATAGGTCATAAGTTTTATTTCCTTCTTCATTTTAGGTTGTCCTTATGATGAAATGACAAAGAGAATGTAGAAACCTAACACATTTTTAAGGGATTAAATGAGTTAGTCTAAGTAGCCCAGGATAATGGCTATGTGCTCCCAAAAGGTTTTGTGATTCTACCAACATTAAACTCAGAATAAAGGAAACTGAGGTTCATATAACACATAGGCTTTGTTTGAAATTGCTCTTTTTTTAAACGTTTGATAGTAGCTGAGTATTAAATTTTGTTTGAGAGACCACCCAAGAAGAAATAGAAAACACACTCATTTCAAATTAGTAAATTGAGAGCCCATACAGAGAGAACAATTCTACATAAGTCAAAAAAAATGCACTTAATTTACATATTTTTAAAAGACAGTTTGTATTACTATCACTACTTTGTGATCTCTATTTTTTTTCTCTCCAATTCAAGCCTTAGCTAGCTCTAAATAGACATGAAAAGGTATATGGTTCATAAAATGGTGACCTCTTTGTCTCAGATTTTGCTGTCTCCTAAGACTACAAAATATAAAGTTAACAGTGAGAAGACAGGTTCATGCTGTGGGTCATGCTGGAGCTGCCCGGGAGGCGGAGGTTCAGCTCCTGACCCAACCTGAACAGGCTGGCATGGTGCCCCATGCCTGTGGTCCTAGCCAACCAGAAGTCTGGGACCAAGGACCGTGACTTAGTGAACTCTGTCCAGCATACTTCCCTTGAGCCAGCCTGTGGTGTGGTGGTTAAGGGGATGAAGCTCACTGTGACCTCAGAGTTCTAGACTCCATGGCTTGAAAATCACACCAGGTGTGTGTGTGTGCATGCCCACAATTCCAAAAGGAGGCTGGAGGAGAAGAGTTGGTGCCGCCATCCCAAAGGGGGTGAAGGGGATTTCTCATTTTACCTCCCTCTGTCTCTCTCCAGGCATTGCAAGCGCTCAATAGCAAATTAACAACAACAACCAAAAAAAAAGCCCTCTGTCTCTTCTTTTAAGAAAAAAGTGAGAAAACATTTTAAAATTCTGCCTTTTTTTCCAAGATATAAAAATAACATCACACATAGATGAAAAGGCTCATTAAGAACAACAGTGGGTGTTAGAGTTGTTAGTTCTCTCCCGTCCCCTATTTTCGACCCTCCATACCATATGCCTACAAATGTACCCTATGCACATTAATGCAAAGAAAGGATACAGCGGCCGCCATCATATAATATGGTAAAACTGGTGGCCTTCCACTCGGAGTCCTTGTGCATTGAAATAGGGAAGATAACCCTCATTTGTAGCCTCTAATAATATTTTCCTTTCCTTTTTTTTTTTAAGGTTTTTGCCTGAAGGCATATGTGCTCAGCCAGAAAGAGACAGGAAAGGGAAAGTGAGAAATCATTCCCCAGGAGCATGGCAATGCTGCAATCCCTTCTCCCTTCTCTTTCTAAGATTTTGGGCACACATGTACACATATCCAGCATGATTTCCAAACCCCTATGTCTGGGACTTGAACCCTGGTCAACCATGTGGGATTCCAGTTCCTTAATTACCACATCACCTGCTGGCCCTTAATCTTTTCCTAATCATGTAATAAGGCTTGTTCTGTTTTGAGTTCAACCCTGAAGCTGAGTTTTCAGTAATAATAAAATATCATTGTTCATTTTGGAGCTAATTTATATTTTAATTAAAAAGAGACTTCTAGCCATCTTATCCTCACAATTATATAAAAATGACTGAAAGAACTATTTCAAGGGATATAACTTGATGTATTTGGGACACTATGCTTAAAAGTTTCTATAAAACTAATAAAATGTATTGAAATGATCTTGAGTGAATGAGAGAATGAAAAGAGTCTTCAAAAAGTTCATGAGAATAAAAGTAAAGCATGGGCTTATTTTTATGCAAAAAACTGACATTCATGCATTTTTTATAATTTTACATGAACTTTTGGAAGACCCCCCCCCCATGGTATTTAGATTTGTTTTTAAGAAAATAATTGGTTGTAATACTCAAACAAAATGCCAGCTCAATCTCACATATTAAATATGTAAATAGCTATATTCATATTTTAATCATAAAACTTTTAATTAAATAAAAATACAAAACATAGAATTTAAGTGAAAAAATATTCCTAATAATGACATAATAAGAATGAAATTTAAGACATATGTCATCTTATAGAGCCTGAAGTTATTAAATGGTACCCAGCTGGGTTAAAGGAATTTCTGAAGTTCCTGGTATACCTTTTTATTCACTATTAAACCAATAACCAAACAAAGCTGATTACTAAGACACTTGGATAGTCTAGTGTATAAAAAGCACAGAGGCTCCCACTAATCTAATCACAACTCCATTCATAAACTATGAAGTAACCTGTTCTCATTTAATAATAGAAGTCAACCTAAAGTTTGGACTATTTCTCTAAGATAACATTTTTAAGAAATCTTATATTTGTTCCTAAAAAAAGCACTGTTTTTCTTTATTCATGTCAAACAAATATGTGATAAATTTAACTAAATATTTAAAACACGTATCCCCTTCTATAATACTTTGAAAACACTGAATCATTTGTTTTTAAAGTTGATATACAATCAGTATGCAAAAAAGTTAGTACGTACCTTTGACAATATTAAATATTTTTCATCTCTATGAATAATTTATTAAAAATTATATACACATCTCTCTCTATTTACTATATCTAATAGATATAGTAAATATATACTATTACTATTAGATATAGTAAATAGAAAGAGACGTGTATATGAATATAAAAATCAAATTTGAGGACCCTATTAGAACATAATTCAACCATGATTAGATTTTATATAAATGCTTTTGTACAAATTACTGATAAATAAAATGCTAGTCAGATATCCCATAATCTAAACACAGATGAAATACTGGTTCACAAATGTTTTATTTCATATATTTTTGTCCTTTTACTGAAAGTACCTTGACATGTAAGGATAAGTTCTAAATAAGTAAATAAGGAAAATATAAGGAGTCATATAATTATCTAACCAGGAGCTTAATATTAAAAACAACCATACTAAAGAAATTCATAAAGAAATACTTTTTATTAATGGTGAAACAAATTTAAAATGTTGCTATAGCATTTTACCAAAAGGAAAACATGCCCAGTGCTAAAACCCAAGTAGGGTTCCATTATCTGGGCATCCCAGAGAGGCATGACTCTCTCCCGATAGGATCCTCCGAAGTTTTAAAATAATATCAACAGAATCTTTTTTGATCAAAATAAGGACCGATGTATCCACTGCAGCAGCATTGAACAAGGACACCAAACCTAGCTCATCCAGTTGTTCCTTAGAAACTGGGTTAAGACGCAAGCCACACAACCAGCAAAAGAATTTATTTTAATAAAATGGAAATCATCCAGCATAATGTTGTTACTCAATCGACTCCAGGCTTTTGTTTGAATCCAAGACTTTTGTTTATTTTCTTAGATGCTAAGAAAATAAAGTGATTATCTGGAAATCTCACTGATTTCAAGATCGAGCTGTTTAAAATTCAAGGTATTTCTCTTGAGCAATAACTTAAATGACAAAAATCATTTTCAAATGATGTGGTGACAGTGGGAAAAAAAGATAGTGAATTTTACATCCCCCTACAAGAAAGAAAATTAAAACTCAAAAAAAGAGCTATATTCGAACTAAAACATTCACGATTAAAATATTAAAACTACATAATGTAAAAGCATACTGATAAATTAGAACATAACAAAATCTGCAAAACAAAAATGTTTCATTTTATGCCTCACAGGTATACAAATATTGGATTTAAATATATAAGTCTGAAAAATAAATCTCACTGCCATTTTAAAGAAGTGGTTTATCTAGGACTAAAATTTTTAGTATTTAGAAGCTTGACAATATGACTTCCACCATGCCATAAAAATGGCATTTAGCATACTAATTTAAATAAAGGTATTTCAATGTCACCTTTTCACAATGACCATTTAAATGCACTCTATGTAATGAATAGTCACATTGCACTATTCAATCATCCTGAAAAAATTCATCTTTTAGCTATTATTTTAAGAGTAAACTGTATCACTACTTCACATCTGAAAGATACTCACCTCTATGAGGCTGGAGTGTATTCCAATCAGGTACGGCATCGGGGCACTAAATTAAAAATACATATATGTATAGATTCATAAAATTCATCAAAACGAAAATAATAAAATAATTCAGAATGCATAATAAAATAAATTAAATGCTCATTCCAGCATAGCACATCACAGGTATTCAAGATTATTCAAAATATAAAAACTCAAATTTGTTCTCAGATGCCACTAATAGGTTTAAATTAAGGTCGATATAGATTAAAGTCACAAGATCACTTACAATTAAATCAAGAGTTATAGTGTCTGAACAACCTCTTTTTATTTAAGAAGATTGGGGTTTAGTTCTAGGGTGAGCTGAATCTTCTCCATGTACTTCAGAACAAATACACCCCACCTAATCACCAAATGTATTTACAAAAATGCATTTACATCTTTTCCTATTTGGTTACATTTTTATTTCTAGGATTTTCTTAACACTTCTTCATTGTTTGAAATCTCCTGTGTCAGTGCATACTCTTAGAGCCTGACTGTGAGACAGGCACTGTCCTGGAACTAGAAGTTCACAAGTGACCGTGTTCTTCTCCTGCTGGGCTCTGAGACCTCCCCCGTGTACCTTGACTTTTACTTAAATTTTATAAATTCAGATTTATTGTACTTTCACTTTTATTAATAAGCACAGTTTTAATAAATGTATTACTAGGGACCAGCAGGTGGCATGGTGGTTAAGGTGCTGGATACTCCCACATGGCTGACCACGGTTCGAGTCCTGGACCTGGTAGCTTGCTTTCTCACTTCCCCTCTTTCTCTCTCTCTCTCTTCTCTCTCTCTCTCTGTGTCTTTCTCTGTCAAATTAAGAATAAATGAATGAATAAATAAATCATTTAAATAAATAAATAAATAAATAAAATGTATTACTACTCAAGTAAATATGGGAATGACCCTGAATTAATTTAGCACATGTTATCTGGAGCCCTGGGCTTGAGAACAGTAGCTAACAACACAGACAGAATTATTACTTTTTTATTATTCCCTTGTGGGAATCTGAGATCCTAGTAGAGAAGAGAGACATTAAATAATTTGTAATGTGTAAAACCAGAATCTCTAGTAATTTCAGAACTCTTTCTCATAAAATATCAGAAGGAAATGATTCAACTTGACATTTCAAAACTCAACTACTATCTAACAGGAAAACACGGGGATGGACAGATGACTACAAAGGCGATAGAAGATATGTGAATAAATAAAAGCCAAGCATTTCTGGCAATTCTTTCATAGATATCTTAATGCGAACCTCTTCTATTAATGCAAACAGATAATTGTCTTTCTCAAAGGATTTGCATAATTTTCTAAACGTCACCGTCACTAATGGAGAGAACAGTGTTTTCCAAACTCCTGTGTGTTCACTTAGCTACTGAGACCAGTAACAGATAAAGCTAACGGCACTTCAGCAGACTGGGGGGTTTCAAAGCAACCTCAAACAGTTCCAATTGTACTGAAGGATGGCTAAACACTAACTTACATACCCAGAATTCACAAAGGAAGTGTGAGAGAGTTACCTCACTCCTCATTAGCCTGAGCATTCTAGTTCTTAGCTTCTGATTATACTAGACTCTGACTCCCAGTTGCCTTTGCCTCTGTTGCTTTGTTCCTTCCTACTTTATTTTTTAATGTTTATGCAAGAGTCCATCTGGAATTAATCTGATAGTAGAGATAACTTCATTTGACTAAAAGTTGAGCACTATCTACAGGTCTCGGTATCCTGAAGACCTAACAGATTTTCTGCCTTCCAAAGAAAAAGGATGAACACATGTGGACTGTCCCACTTTTGGTTAAACAAGGGAAGGCCAGTTCCTTCCGTGGCTCAAGATCTCATCCCTGGAATTCCCTCAGGGACACTAAAGACAGGAAATGCACATTACTAACTATTCTGGACTTCCATAGTTAAGGCAACTTTTCCGAAACAAGCTAGATGACGCCCAAGGTAATAAATACGTCAAGTTCTCCCATTTCCAAAATAGCATCAAATTATGGAAGCCACCAATTCACCCCAGGTTAGGTTACCTTGCCTACTAGATTTATGGTACAGAATTCTGTCCAAATTCTCAAATTCTGAAGAACATTTTATTTGTAAAAGAGTGTAAATCAAAAGATAAAAGCCTTTAGAATGTAACAATCATGTCCATTTTACAGAGGCTAGGGGGATATTAGAGGACAACTTTGAAAACTTTACGAAAGCTACTTATATTCTGAAACATAAACAATAAACTTACAGACATTTAAGCTAGAATAAAAAAATTAATAAAAAGTTCCCATGCAGAACTTAAGAGAGTAAATAATACGTTCTTTTTTTTATGAGATCATTGGGTATCTCCACATGTTTTTCTCTCACTAATCTCTAACAAAATCCAAAACCCTGCGATGTTAGAACTATGATTAAGCTAGAGCATGCTCTAAAACAATTATGATGCTTTATAGAACTCAGAGTGAGCTGAACGGTTCTTCTCCCTATGAAAACTGGACTGTGTACATCTCAATATGAAATCAGCCCAATCTCATGGAAAATCATTTTGCAGCCCTAACTGAAATTTCCTAATGAGACTAGGGTGTTACTAAGTCAGGAAGAGATCCTTGGCAAAGAGATGTTTTAGCATCCATGCACAAAACCGTCCTGGACCTTTCTGTCAAACAAATCATTTTGTGAAAATAGATGCAGAAGGCTCTTTTACGACTGATTCTTTTTGGTAGCAATTAATTTTTTTTTTTTGGTAGCAATTAATTTTTACCCTAAAATAGGTGTTTTCCTCCATGTAGGTTTTGGGTTTTTTTTAACAAAAACACCACCCATGACACCGACTACCATGGCAGTCGACCTGGGTAGTCTAAAGAACATCTTCCACTTGTTAAGCTACGAAGATAGTTTCATAGGAAGACAAGTCAGGAAGCCTCAATAAAAAGGGTGACTCATGCACTCCCTGAACACATAATACGTGATTATAATTTTCCTGGTCCTAGATCCCACTCATGTTTATGGACTCAGGAAAGTTAGGGATGTTTGGCAGCATCACAGACTCGCCACATTAAAGTACTTTCAAAGTGGCTGATTAAGAAAAAGAGGCAGATGGTGTCACTTCCTCCCAGGAGCCTTCTCTAATCCTGCCTGGGAGTGTAGCCCACTCCTTCCTGGACGTCCCATCCACAGTTACCTCACATATCTTCACAAGAGCAGGGCTGCTGCGTGACTCAGCTCTGTGTGTATGTGTGCACGTGTGGGCGGTCACGTGTGTATTTCTTACCTGGGAATCCCGCAAGGACAGAAACTAAATCTTATGCATTGTGTTCACAGAACATGGGCGTTTGCTGTTATAAATGTCTGATGAGCCAAAGGACGGATGAATGAGTAAATGAATCAGCAAAGAGGCAAGGCTTCATCAGACAAGCCCCGGATGCGATATTTATCCATGGTCACAAGAGGGCACTCTGGCTCTCTGCAGTCAACACCACGCTGGAGCCACTGGTGCGAAAAAGACTTTACAGAGCTAGGATCACCCCAGGATTTGCGAGGTCCCCACCACGCTGCAGAGTCAGCAAAGATAGATCCACTCCTATCACACTTGCTGGCACTACTTTTGAACTGAAATATAAAAAGTAATTTACTTAAAGATCATGAGTTGAAAGGCTAACCTGTAACACTTTTCTCTGCTTTGCATATAGCTCTCCAAGGATGTAAAAAAAGAAAAACATTTTCCCTGGGAAATAGTTTAATCCATCAAATTTTCTCACAAATGAAGAAAGCCAGAATCTTAGATGGTTATTTCTAGAATAAAATTGAGTAATTCAGACCAGTTTCTGTAATAGAAGTCGAGCCCATCACTGTGACCTTAAGATTCTAGAAGTTTCAGATCATGCCCTGTTTGAGTTAACATGGCTCTACTCTGGGAACTAGAGAGGTCTTGGGCATGATCTGTTGGAACTCATCCTAAAGGCTACATCAGATGTTAGAACTAGAAAGGAAATTCCAGGGACTGAAATACGGAGCAAGCCACCTTCATTATGGTGAAAGCAGCAGAGGAAGATCTCACAGCAGGGATATGAAATACCAGAAAGACAGTTCTGGAAAGAATTAGTTCAGAACTGCCTGTGTCATAGAATTGTTCCTAAATAACATTTTGGAAAGACTTTAATGTGTAAGTCATTACAGAGAATTAAACTTAAAGGTGTGTTACCTCTTAAGAGGTCAGAACATGTTAATGAAAAAAATCAAGATGGCACTCACATTCTATAGGATAAAATGAAATTCCAAACTTCATAGTTAAAAGTGTTAGTCCTTCATATAGTTTTTTCTATAATTATATATTTTCTAATACTTTGGGGAATTATTTTTAAAATAGGTAAGTGTGCGTCACTGAACCCCCTGTGCAGAGATCACTGCACCTGCCAACGTGCATAAGCTGTAGTCCCTGCCTTCAAGGGTGCTAAAATACAGTAGGTATGCTGGTCAGAGAAAAACCTAACTGAGTAACAAATGAGTCTGCTGATAGATCTGGCTTTTCTCTAAGACTTGGGTGTGTGACACATCACAATATAACAGTTAAATGCTCTCCTACAGCGCCACGGTGCCCTCTCTTTCCTTTCTGGTTTTCAAAGAGCAGAGTAGCAGTGGTCGGTGGCTGGGCATTTTCAAGACCAGGAACACTATCATGCATAGACACACACGATGCATTAATACAATCGATGTGTGACCAAGCATGTGTGCTTTTACGATGACTCGTTCTGAAGAGAGTCAGTCATAAAAACTTAACAGAAAACCTGTGTATATGTACTTGAATAAGTTTAATCCCTAAATACTTGAAGTGACCTGCCTTTCGTGAAATAGAAGCTAAATAAGTGCACTGATTATAAAAGAGCTTTGTTTTTTCATAACATGATAGCTGTGATAGAAGCAAACACCCTAAAGTCAAAACAATCTTCTTGGGACCAGCAGATGGTGTAATGGTTGTATAGCTGGACTCACATGTAGTCAACCGTGGTTTGAGTCCTGGACCCAGCAGCTTAAAACTCATGCTGGGTGCATGTACGTGCATGACCAAGATCCCAAGGGGAGAATGGAGAAGAAGGGACTGTGGTGAGGTCATCCCCCCAGGGGGTGATTTCTCACTTTTTGTTTCTCCATCTCTCTTTGTCTCTCCAGCAAGCACACATGCCCTATAGCAAAAATTTCTCCTACAAAAAAAAAAAAAATTATCCTGGGTGTGTATGTATGCTTGTACATGATTTAGAGAGAAAAATCGCATCAAATTTCTAAGGAATTAAGCTATGTCTCCAGAAGACGATTACACAATGACGATAACACTTTGCTCCAATCTGAAGGAGGTTCCAAAGCTGTGTTGAAGTCTGACTCTTACACATCCTCATTAGGAGATGCAGCTTCTTCCAGGGAAGAAGCCTGGTTGAATTCGGGTTGGGTGGGACCATTGGCAGTTGATCCTGATGTCAGAAAGCTCCTCAGAGTCACTCCTCACACTTTCCAACATTGCATTTCATGGTGGCTCAAGACAGAGACTTTGACTTGAGCCAGAAAACTTGAGAATTCGCCTACTAGAGGCAACCCCTTGGCCAAAGTTTGCTATTCAGTGTGCTGCTGAGGAAGGAGGGGTGAAGGACAGCGCGTCCTCGGGTAACCTAACACGTGTGCCCTGACAGGGACAGGCAGTGTCTGGCAGACGTGCCCGACGAATTCTGACACCTGGCCTATAGGGTTCTCTAAGGAATGTCATACTTCTGGACAGTTGCCTGGACCCCAGACGAAGGCTGTATTTGTTTCTGTGTATGCATTTAGTTATCTAACTGAGGCAGAGGAGATGAACCCTGAAGAACCTTCTGTGCGCTAGGTACTCAGTATTGCTGCCTTTGATAGGAATACTGCCCTTCATTCAAGCACCCGGCAACCCTTATTGCCGATCCGTCAGTCGAGTTCTCGTGATTTGTGTCACGCGCTCCGAGTTTCCCTAGTCGCCGGGCGGTGCGAAGGAGCCGGCCAGCTTACCAGCAGTAGTCCAGCAGGTGCGGCGGCAGCACGGGGACGTAGATGTGCTGCCAGTGCATGGGATAGAGCAGCGCGGCCGAGGCGTGGACACAGGCGGTGAGCTGCAGGGGAGAGGAGAACAGTCAGAAGGAGCGGCTGACCTGCCGACCGCAGGGGCAGGACCACGCACCGGGGTAAACGGCAATCACGACACAACCGAGTCACGGCAGATCAGCTGGACGTGCAGAAAGCCCGACGCCTCAGAGGCCCCTCGGAACAATACTTAACTGGCAAAAGTAGCTTCGTGGGAACCCTATGTAGATCGTTATAACCAGCTGAGTAGACAGAGTGGGGGGCCGCAACTTAGAATCGAAGTAAAAGTGAAACTCAAAAATTAGGTGAGCGTCTTAGAAGGGAAAGGAATGGAGGAGATTACAAGTTGTGCAGCCCCGTTTGCGCATCGCTCAGATTAATATAACACGATTAAATATGGAAAGGAAGGGAGGCTGAAAGCTCCTGAGGGATATCATTAGGGCAAATTGCCAAAGAATGAAACATGAGCCAGTCAGGAGAGTCTGGAAGCTGCAGTAATACCAGGGGACTTGAATGTTCGACAGTTGGAGCTTCAGTAATGTGTGAACTGCGGGTTACGGTATCAGGAGACTCTGTTCACTGACACATAGAATGTCACTATTGACCAGCAAACTGCCCAAGCTTGACAGCTGTACTAGAGCAAGCCAAGGATATCATAATTTCACATTTAAACTGTTCATTCCAGATTAACATTTTGTTTCCTAGCTTTATATCACAACAGCTGCAATTACATTGTTGCTATTTTAAAGGTAATTGCCATTTTAATTGTTTTGTTTTGGCAAGCAGTTAATTAAACATTTTTTAATGCTTAACAAAGGGATATCACTTTTTTTTCTCTCTCCTACTGACACGCACCAGAATCCTTTCTGTGTGACTTTCTTTTCCATTTTGAATTACAGTGAATCTCTGTAGGTGTAAAGTCTTTTAGTGTTTAAGACAATAATTAAATCAGCATTCTTCTTCGCCATGTTAAAATTTTGCTATAATCTGTATTTCAAGGTTACCAATTAAATAATTTTATCTAACTTGAAAATCAGAATTAAAAAACCTGAAAATGAATCACAGACTTTCTTTAAACCCTTATGTCTACTTAATTACTACAGAAAGAGATTAAAACAAGCCCACAGTAATCAACTGATTTAAAAGAATATACAGAAGCAATACAAATCTTACTAATAGCAACATTTGTCTATGTTTAAATACAAAATAGCTTCATTAAATTAAAAAAATCTAATCTGAACCTGAAATTTAGAGATTTTTATTAAAAATATTCTTGTCTTTGTCAGACAGATTAATTTTTTCTAGCAAGATTTTGAATCAATTTTATATGGAAAGCAATGTTTTTGATTAAACTATAGAAGTTATCATTAAAGGAATTTTGGACCTTGTACTTACAAGCTTTAATAGTTTATCAAGAGAATTCCTTCAATAAATAGTATTTTTTAAATTCCTTAATTAGAGCAAACAGTATACCACTAGGAGGCATTCAGATACTTCTACTTAGCAATTATAGACCTAGGATTTATTTATGTTACACTCTGAACTAGAGGGAAATAAAAATGCAGTTGATCTAACTCATTGTGTCAAATTCTCTAAGAGCTTTCAGGTACTCCTGGCTTGTAAATTACACATCTTTTACATTGTATTAACTATTTACACACTTTGTATCCTGATGAGCTAAAAGAGCTTATATATCTTTGAAAGGTGACTAGTTATTCAATGTTTTTATTTACATAAAGATTACTTTTAAAAGAGCTCATCTAAAACCTTGAGAAAATAGAAATAGTGCAGCAAGAGGAAAATGACATCCTCAAAATGAGAAGCTGTAAGGAGGGAAACTTATTTCACTGAGCACAAGCAGTCTGAAGCTCCCTCACACGGGCTATGTATATGCTTGCCCTGTGTCCATAAGGATCAACCTTCTGTGAAGTTATCGATTATTCACTAAGAAGGCACAATGTCGTCTGATGCATTTGAGGGCTTCCTAGAGGGTGCTTTCTGTGACCCTAAGCATAGTCACACCTCTTCAGTGGCCAGCATCTGGCAGAGTCAAGATCTACCAGGAGAGAAGGAAGCTACAGGACTCGGAGACTTTTCTGATATGGGGGATGACCTCAGCGAGAGGTAAAGATGTACAAGTTTCACTGGGCTTGGGGAAGGGCTGTCACACATTTTTATCTCTCCCCGTGACTTATTCTCCTTATCAGAAAAGCTGCCAAGTCCTGTAGCTTCCTTCTCTCCTGATAGCCCCAGAATAAGTTATTAAACGTAATATAATAGGCCAGAAGGTGGCGTGGTGGTTAAGATACTGGACTGCCACATGGCTGACTACAGTTTGAGTCCCAGACCTGGCAGCTTGCTTTCTCGTTTTTTTCTTTCTTTCTCTCTGTCTCTGTCTCTATCTCTGTCTCTCTCTGGTGAGTACTCATGCCCTGTAGCAAATTTTTAAAAATAAATAAATAAACAAACCTTTATTTTAAAAAAAGGTAATATAGCAGATGTGTCAGGTTGAATAGATACTATTAATATGAGAAATTGCTTTCACAAATATCTATTGACTGTGAAACATCCGAATGGATATTTTCAGAAAAGGTCGAAGCATCATGCCCAAAAAAATCCCCCATTTGGACTCAGCAGCATGCAAGAACTATAGGGTTAAAAAAAAAAGAAAGAAAGGAAGGAAAACCAAGAGACTACTAGCATATATTTTGTTGAAAAGAGCACAAAATTATGGGACTAGCAGTTAGCGTAATGGCTATGTCGCTGGACTCCCAGGTAGTCAACGACACTTTGGGTCCAGGACCCGGTGGCTTAAACTCACGCCGGGCACGTGTGCATGCGTGCCCAAGATCCTGAGAGGAGAATGGAGGAGAAGGGATTGTGGTGTGGCCATCCCCTGAGGGGTGATTTCTCTGTCTTTCTGGCAAGCACACGCGCCCTATAGCAAAAACCTCTTGGAAAAAATTTTAAAAGAGCATAAAATTGCCAAGTTTAAAAAAAGATACAATTAATGAAAAGCAAATTTATAGAAAAGTCAAGCACATTTCTATATATCTGTATTAAATAACATCAATTAAGCACATCACGGACTCAAAGTTAGGATTTAGCCGCTAGAAGCTGTGTAACCTCTAGCCCACGGTAATAGCGATGTAACCAGGTAACCTTAGTTTCCTAATCGTTAAAATTAAAAACAAAGTCTGTGCTCTCTCAAAGATCAAATGTTCTCCTTTCTTAGACCAGGTTAATTCTGATTCTTTTTTTTTTTTTTTTAAGAAAGTTTTTTGCTCTAGCGAGAGGTAAAGATGTACAAGTTTCACTGGGCTTGGGGAAGGGCTGTCACACATTTTTATCTCTCCCCGTGACTTATTCTCCTTATCAGAAAAGCTGCCAAGTCCTGTAGCTTCCTTCTCTCCTGATAGCCCCAGAATAAGTTATTAAACGTAATATAATAGGCCAGAAGGTGGCGTGGTGGTTAAGATACTGGACTGCCACATGGCTGACTACAGTTTGAGTCCCAGACCTGGCAGCTTGCTTTCTCGTTTTTTTCTTTCTTTCTCTCTGTCTCTGTCTCTATCTCTGTCTCTCTCTGGTGAGTACTCATGCCCTGTAGCAAATTTTTAAAAATAAATAAATAAACAAACCTTTATTTTAAAAAAAGGTAATATAGCAGATGTGTCAGGTTGAATAGATACTATTAATATGAGAAATTGCTTTCACAAATATCTATTGACTGTGAAACATCCGAATGGATATTTTCAGAAAAGGTCGAAGCATCATGCCCAAAAAAATCCCCCATTTGGACTCAGCAGCATGCAAGAACTATAGGGTTAAAAAAAAAAGAAAGAAAGGAAGGAAAACCAAGAGACTACTAGCATATATTTTGTTGAAAAGAGCACAAAATTATGGGACTAGCAGTTAGCGTAATGGCTATGTCGCTGGACTCCCAGGTAGTCAACGACACTTTGGGTCCAGGACCCGGTGGCTTAAACTCACGCCGGGCACGTGTGCATGCGTGCCCAAGATCCTGAGAGGAGAATGGAGGAGAAGGGATTGTGGTGTGGCCATCCCCTGAGGGGTGATTTCTCTGTCTTTCTGGCAAGCACACGCGCCCTATAGCAAAAACCTCTTGGAAAAAATTTTAAAAGAGCATAAAATTGCCAAGTTTAAAAAAAGATACAATTAATGAAAAGCAAATTTATAGAAAAGTCAAGCACATTTCTATATATCTGTATTAAATAACATCAATTAAGCACATCACGGACTCAAAGTTAGGATTTAGCCGCTAGAAGCTGTGTAACCTCTAGCCCACGGTAATAGCGATGTAACCAGGTAACCTTAGTTTCCTAATCGTTAAAATTAAAAACAAAGTCTGTGCTCTCTCAAAGATCAAATGTTCTCCTTTCTTAGACCAGGTTAATTCTGATTCTTTTTTTTTTTTTTTTAAGAGAGATTTTTGCTCTAGAGAGTGAGTGTGTGCTCACCAGAGAGACAGAGCAAGTCAGAAATCAGCCCATATGGGGGATGACAATGACACAATTGTTTCTCCTCCATTCTCCTCTAAGCATTCTCCTTTGGGCACACATGCACATGCGTCCAGCATGAGTCTCAAGCCTCTGGTCCAGGACCCGAACAACAGTCAACCATGTGGGAGTCCAGGGCCTTCCACTGTGACACCTGCTGGCCCCAATTCAAATTCTGTATATCTTTACTAATTGAGACCTTTTTTTCCATCTAAGTGGCGAACAGAATATTGTAACTTGACTATAATGCAGATCTACCTTCAAAATACATAAAGATCACTTTAAAATGCTTCAAATCACTTTAGATAACTGTGCAACTGGAAACATAGTAACTTATTTGCTTATTCAACAAACTTCCCAGCGCCTGCGTGTGTAGTCATGCAGCCCTGTGAGGAAACGGGGGCACAGCACTGAACGGAACAAAGTCCCTGTTTTCAGGGCTCTTCCATGGTCGTGGGGAAGGCCAGCGATAAACAAGGACAGCACGTACTAGTCACAGCAACGAGTTC